GGAATCGAACTTCGAAAAAGCAGCAACTCTACTGATGCAAGTTCGATGGCTGGCCCCTTCACACACTGCTAAGAACTCACACCAGCGTCTCGCAGCACGGCACCCATAGATGCCAAGGCCGTGTTCAAGGCCTGGTCCGTAATTTCGGCATCGGCTGCCTTATCCCGACACACCCAGAGATCAATCTGCTGGCAGCAGACGAGAAAAGGGTCAGGTGCCAAGGCAGAACGTCTTACCAAGCTCTGTCGGGCCTGCAGAAACATCACGGGCATTCCATACTCGGTGCCCTGACAGTGACAGAACCGAATAGAGGTTTAGACATCGAGCGAATGTTACACTCTCGTGAAGACTTTTCCCGACACCGAGCCTTCAGGTAGACCGAAGCGAAGCCAGCATCGTCCAAGTAGCTCCGGACTTCGTCAGGCGCTAGCTGCAGGGGGTCGTCTGCCTGAACATCATGAACACTACCTGACAGTACTGTCCGTGCGAACGCGTCGCCATGCAACATGCGGTCTTACACGGGCAAACACTTTCTTGTGGTGTGGCTGGTGTGAAAACACCTGCAAGAGTCGAGTAGACTGAAGATGACATTGAAAGACCTTGTTTTTTTTTGACTGGGTGATGCCCATACGTTTGAAATGCATCAGCAGGCTTCATGCAAATTTTGGGTTGAACCGTTTCACTTCAAGTATCCCGGCATGGGACTCTGAATTCTAATGCCAGTGAAACGACTCGGTGCCCAATGTTGGGTGCCTACTTGGCCTGCCTGCACCTGCACAGCTGCCGTGGCCATGGGTAGAACGTGACCTTTCCTGTCTGACTAGCCCCTCGAGAATCCAAGTCGGGGCAAAGGAATCTTGAGCCGTTGTGCAAAGCGAAAGTAGCCGGCAGCATCAGCCCCCTCTGACTTTTTGCTTAAGCAGTAAGCCTTTGGAAGACTGACTGATGAAATAGTGCGTTGATGGTCAAGACATGTACGACTCTTTGTGATCGAGGCGCCATCAGCAAGGTGAGCCGTCAAGCAATTTGCAGTGTTTGCAAAAAGCGTCGGTTCAGGCGAAAGCACTTCAGGCGCTCTCTGCACCACTCGCTGCTGATGTCTCGCGCTGCTGGCGGCGCTCCATTCTTGCTGCCAGCAAGGCCATCTCTGCAGAGTCTTCGGCCTTGGTTCCATGTCGGAAAGCTGATGAGCTTGGCGACAGTCAGCTTGGTTATGTCAATGTGGCAGTCAAGGCTCAACATGCGCGGCCTTTCTGAGGATGCAATATGCCGTAATCGCATAAATCGCCTCGGCAAAACCGCACACTAAAGTCAAGGTGTCGGCCCTGCAGTCCTCCTGCAGGTCTCTGGGCCACATTCTGGGTTCGGCATCAAGTGGCGGCGGCTTGCGAGGCTGCGCTCTGCGGTAGCACGACGACTCTTGCAGTCGGGCGGGCTGCCTCCGGCTTCTGTCAGTGAATCTATATTCACTGTTGGTAGCGGCAAACGACAGCAGCTTGTGGCAGCAATTTGATTTTTTCCATGGTGGTAGGTGTAACAGCAGCAGTCCCAGTAGCGGCAGTAGCACTTTATGTTCCACGAGATATATGTAAGGTGAAATGCAGTATAGATGATGTACGGTAGTATCTACAAGGCCATATCATATCACATCGCATCATGTCATGTCACACGTCCCATACAGTAGAAGAGAATAGAACCTGATAGAATGGAACATAATGACCTAAGCCAAAATGATGTGATATGACATGGTATGCCATGATATGATACAATAGAAGATGATACCAGACGATGTTGTATAGTACAATATAATATAGCGTATATATGCGGTTATACTGTATATTACATTGTACTATGTTACATGGCGCAGTATATTACAAGATGCTGCAATGTAGTGAAATATGGAATGACATCAAATAACAGCATGGAATACACCTGATCCATATTGTGTAGTGCAGTGGCCTGGATCTGCCTCGCCCTCTCGGAGAATGCGAACCGGCCGAGCCGCCCGCGCCGTAGAAGAACCTCGCCGCGTCGTTGCATGGTAGTGTTCGCGACACGGCCTCTTCGCCACGGTTTGAGAACCAGACCATCGCAGGAAACCTCCCAAGACCAGCCTGAGTTGTAGACCCAAACACAAAAAACAGGCAATCAGCGCCTGCAACTGTAATTGAACAACAACTCTAAGAAATGATAATCGACGAGGCCGTGGCACTCCCTTTGAGAAGGCCTGCATCTGGTCTAACATCTTGCAGAGCGCGCTGGTTAGCCAATTGCACACGCGGGCTTTGTCCATGCAGCTTGCATGCCGCTCCTGATTGGGTGAAGAGGTTCTGGCTCGTGTATCAATTTTCCCAAGGCTTGCTTTTGCTATTGCTATTTAATAGATGAGGTTGCAGATAAAACCAAACGAAAGCAGACCTGTATCGGCGCTGTCGCTCATACTGCAGGGAAAACATTGGTGCCTAGAACTCACGGAGACCATGCTTAGCAGGTTGACGATCGAAGACCTGCAGTCTGGAGGATCAAGCGCAAAGCATTGGGTCAGCCTCCCCATCACCCAAAGCAACCTACACCGTCCGGGAGTCGTTTGTCATTCCGCCGTTTCGGGATTTTCGATATTCACTGTCGGACGGCATGTGGTCTCTGCACATGGTGGTCGCTTTCTTCCTTGCTTTATGTCTTGAGCTGCTACTCCCCACAGCGGACGAGGGGTCAGCTTTGCGGACAGCCGAAAATCATAAGATTCAAATCATGCTGCTACATCGACGTGGTTTGTTCCAATTTGCGACAAAAGGTCCTCGAAGTCGCGGCCAGATCGTAGCAACGAAGCCGCCCTGAGGAGCTGCAGCGGGAGCTCCGTCGTCTGAAGCGTCAGGCCCTGCGGGCCAGGCACATCTGCAAAGCAGCTTCGGGAAGCTTCGGGGAGCAAAGCCGCAACCCAACTTCATGAGAACAGAAAACCTAATGGGTCATCTTACCTTGTTGTACATTTACTCTGTGCTAAGATTCCTTCTCTTCCGGGGTCTTGTTGGCGGTCCGCTTCTGGGAGAAACCGGCCGATGCTCCCGCAGATATTCCACGACCCCTGCTACGACCATGATCTCACTACGACCTCACGCAGGAACTTGTATTCACAACAGCGGCTCCGAAGCATTCCACAACTCAACTTCAACTGCTGCCGGACTTTTGTGCTGCAGAACTTTTTGCCCACCCGCCCAGCTGACAGAGTCAGTGCTTTATAACTTTTTCCCACCCGCTTCGCTGACTAGGTCGGGCTGCAGGGAAAACCCAGACTCCAAGACTACGCACTTTGCAAGACTCATGGTGGGCAAGTCCCGGGTGACCCGTACTCTCACATGTGCACCACCGCATAGGCTAAGAAAGCGAGTACAGTACGCAGGACTCGCGAGATACAGCCAACTTGACGACGTCCACGACTACCCCGAACTTTTTTTTCCCTCTCGCATGGATAAGGATCAATGCCCACAAGCGAGGTGGTTCGGGGACAACCCCGAACTTTAGATGAGGGTTTGTTCGCTGGCTTTGAACTGGCCGTTCAAGGCACAGTCTGTCACGATCTCGATTGCTATGTAAGCGTGTAACTATGTATAACTATGTGTAGCGGTCCACAAAGTTTTGAACTGTTCCGCGCCTGGGTCAAGTGAATGCACACGACATCTCCAGCACTTGACGCTTCCAGCTCTGGCATTGTGGTATTCAATACCTGGGCAGTGGCTGGTGGTCGCCATACTTGTGCAGTCATCAACACTCATTACGCTGTTCCAGGGGTCCTAGGCCTAGGCCCTCCAGGGCCAGCTTAATAATTCGACCCTCTGTGCAGGGTCGGAAATGCTCGCAGGTGAGGTTCTTCAGCGTTATTTCACAGGGACCAGGACGCGGCCAGCCCGGACATGCTCGAATGATCATGTCGGACCGGCTCGATATGATGTCGTGGTCCTCATAAGGCCCATAAGTGTAATCACTCTTGGCATGCTTACAGCTGGCATCATAGATCAGTACGTGTGTCTTCATGCACTCTTGACAATGTGACTGAGATGATGACCACCTGTCGTGGTCGCCGTGACCATCGCAACGACTATCATCATCAGCATCAGCAGCACCACCACCATCACCATCGCGAACGTAACACTCACAGCCATCATTGCTCTCACCATGATCCGCAGCAGCAGAACCATCGTCATCATCACCTCCACCGCCGTCACCTTCAGCATCCTTCAATACAGAAGAACTTGCATCATCACTAGTCACTGTAGTCACTGTCATCATCAGGAGCCGCACGGCCACGCTCGTGATTGTCATCGTCAATCTCAGCCTCATCGACTTATCCGTCACACGTGGTCAACTCACCACCTTGGTTCCATCTTTGCTATTAAGACTTGAACCGAGCGATTTGATGACAGCTCTGCATCACCACATCGGTGTGCATCGGCTTCTAACGAACCCCCACTGCGAACACTCTGCAGACTGACCTCATCTGTGATGCGGGAAAGCAGCGCTAAGCCGCTGCGACACCGTCCCCGGAATGAGGTTGAACTTCAATTCCCTGATTGAGTCCTCCGTTCGTGTGCACACTCCAAGACTTGCCATCCGAGGCATAAGGCTCAGACAGGCGAGGCACATTCGGATTCTTGAAGGAAGCAAAGCCGTAGTGGAGCAAGAGGCTGCTGTTGGAACAGTTTCTCTGGTACAGATGGTGCACCTGACAAAGTCACCAGATCTTGTGCTATATATCACTACATTATCAGTCAGCTGAAGCTACGGTAGTTCACATTAACTGGCGGAAACATCACTCCAAGCAATCTCGCGGGGTGCCTCATCCCCCACCTGGTAGCCAACAGCTCCAGTCGGCAGTTGGAGCCCTGGGTGCTGGGCACATGGAGATTCGAGGCGTGCGCCATTGGAACCCTAACGCTTTCGCAACCCTGAAACCTAAATCCGAAAGTCAAGCTCGTCGTGTCGATGAGCCGAATCCTTCTCCAAGTCTTTTCGAATTTCTCAAAGCCAAGCCGTTCCAAAACAATCCGGATGCCTCCCCGAAAACCCCAAAACCTTGCTGGTTGGGAACAGTTTGGTGGGCTACTCGAAGGGTAGCCATGCCATACCAGCCGGCCCTTTGAGACTTCACCGAAACGGATGGTCTGGCGATCTCCTTGGTGACTTTAATCACCACCGAGCATCGTGCCCCGTTCTGGTCGAAGCGAGCCTCTCGGCTCAGCAAAAGTAGACCCCGAGCTCTTTCGAGGCACGCTCTCACACTCTGCCCAGCCTCCACTTCAGCGTCATTTCTGTGGTTCATGGAATCCAACAAGGGACAAAGGCCGTCAGAATCCCATTCGCATGACCTTCCCAAAGCTCATCGTTCGTTATGGGCGGATATCTTTGCGAAAGACCAATCGAACCATCGGGTAGCTGGGTTGGCTAGGGCTGAACCGTTTTTTGTCAAGTAAAGCTTGGAAAAGTCAAGGATGCGTTGCGCCAGGCCAAGTTCCAATCTGTTAATGGCGAATGGTTGAGGTCTATAGTGGTTACCTGGGATGCATGAAACATGCAGCGGGCCATGCCCGGTGAAGCAAGCAAGCAAGCATGAGGGATGACCCTGCTCATGTCGGGCTCAGTGGGCGGAAGGATGTCTTTCTTAGGTGCGGCTGCGACGGAGGGCTTTCGTAGCGCTAAACCCTAAACCCTCAACAACTCTAAACCCTAAACTCTAAACTTTTAAACCCTAATCCTAAACCCTACATGTAAACCAGTATAGACGCACATCCAAGCCAAGCCAGAGAGACGAGCCGCACCTAAGAGGAAGAAGGGCCAAGCCAGGCCAGGCCGAACCAGGGGAGCTTGCTTGCTTCCTGTTGCAGTATACTGCAGTATATTATAGCATGATATGGTATATAATGGTATTGTAGTATATTATAGTATCTTATAGCATATTGCGGTTATGATAATTAGTACATTGTAGTAATTGTAGTATTTTATAAGTAGCCACAGCTAAGAAAAAACTCCGCCGCAGCCGCACCTAGGGCTACTGACTACTCTCGAATGGCCACGCAAAGCAACAAATATCACAACTATGGGGAAGTATCAAATACTGGTAGAGTGGTAGAACCAATAACGACAGCCTTCACCACTGCAACATCGGGATGTCTGGGGCACACACATAGCGAAGGCAAGTCGGTCAAACGCCCGCGAAACGTAGCATGACCTGTGTTGCGCACACTTAAGCGACAGTCCCATGCCAAGAACATCAGAGACTAAACGACGGCCGGCCCACCTTGCCCATCTCCAGGCCTCTAAGCTGAATCGATGCGAGGTGAAGAAAGCCTTGTTGTCCAGTCGGGCGAGGGGGTCTTGCTAGCAGCTTGTGCTTGCGTCTGCTTGCTAGTGTCGCGATTAAGCCGGACAGTGCCCAGCTGCTGGGTCGGCTTTCTGAAGCCTGCCCACCACATTCAGATGCCTCTCGACTTGGTCCGCCACCGCCTCCCCGAAGCTCTCTTGCACAATGTCTCTATATGGTTTCTTTTACAAGGCAGCAAAAAGCTTGGCCTGCTGTGCTTCCTGCAGCATTGGCGTGCCCACGAGCCACTGCAACGATTCTTCGTCGGAGTACCAGCTCCTCACTGGAACGGTTACAGCTGGCCACGAGCCGGAGAAATCTGGAGAAGACCCCAACAGTCAGGTCTGGTAGCAGCAAAGCTGCAGCGGATCGCTGGGCGGTAGAATCTGCAGGTAGGGATACCACCCACACAATTCTGGTTCCTGAAAGGAGACCCCAAGTCGGCTGTGAAAACTGGAACGGCAATGTCGCGACTGTCCTCGCGACCCCAGATCATGTACAACCATAGCAGCCTGAGATGTCTGCAAACTAGTCAAGTCCAGTGAGTCCTCTTCTCAGCCGATATGATCGGTCTTCACGCCCCAACTGCTAGATTCGTCTGAGACACTCCTCGCCAGGAATGTCGGGAATGACCGCCAACACCTGTGGCGCTCTCTCTCAATCACATTCGAACAAGGTCGATGGACCTGGGATGTGTCCACGAATGGCCTTGGCGCCAAAGGAGGACTTTCGCACCTGGCCGGCATGCAGGATGGCCTGAGCAAGCAAGCGCAAGACCTGGCGTCGAGGATACTGCCACACTGCTTCCAAGCGGCCTCCAGTGGAATCCTGCCACCGATACAAGGTCGCATAGCACATGGGCCAGCATCAACAAAGGCGGGTCCTCCCCAGAAGATCACCGGGACCCAGCCTTCGACAGGCCTGAGACAAGACTCTCACAGCTGCCGAAAGGCGATCGCCGCCAGGCTGTCTCCCCACATTAGCACAGTATCAGTCTCAACCTTCGCCACGGCACGAAGACGCCGATTCCACCAAACTGGTCGCAGCGAAGCGTAACCCCCAGATCCTGAAAAGAGCTAACACCACAAAGAGAGGCCGAGAGAGAGAGAGAGAGCACGAGAACTGCATGGTGCCAGAAAGGCACCTCAAGGTCAACAGAAAAGCTGTTCTTCAGCCATTCTTTGAAGCTTTGGACCTGAGCGCCGCTCTCCACATAGACTATAAGGCTAGTGATCACAGCTGCCTTGCCCTGGCCTTGGCTGCAATTGCGCTGTCCGGGGGCTCCATCGCAACGACCCGCGGTGCTGAGCTGAAGAGCGCCGGGCACCCTGGACTCTTGGCCTTTCTGTGAGGATGCTCCCAATGTCTCCCGATCAATCTTTGGATGTCTTTGGGACTCTTTTTGGGGGCTCGAGCAGACAAAAATCATCGGCAGAGTTGGCAAAGCCCAGGTCGATTTTTCGAGGTGACATAGGTTACCAGCGCAAGGTCATGTTCTGGGTTACGCTGCAACTACAGGCTGGCCGCTATCACAGCCTTGAAGATCTGAAGATCCTCGGCCGCTGCACATGTAGCAAGAAGCCGCTAGAGGTGAAGTCACATAGCATCGGCAGGGCTAAACTGCAAATCGAAGTCTTGCGATTTCGCTTCTGAGTCATTGCTGAACCTGGCTCAACGTTGGCTTTGCCAGGCTGTTGGAACTGCCCATAGTCTCTGCCGTCTGTACTACCAGGAGCTTGACCGAAAAGCGGACCTATGCAAATTGCAGGAAGGGGGAGGTGAAGAGCGTACTCCGTGCAACCCAACTGCTGCTGGACAGCCAAACATCTCACAACTCCCACATGAGAGATTTCACATGTGTGCTTCTAGACAGTACTAGCAGCCCTTAGACTTTGGGGCTATAAAATCTTCCATCCTCAAAGCCGACCACATCACATCTGAGGCGGGGCTGGCACCTGAGAAAACAGATGTCGGCTGGCCGTGTCGGGACGATCAACTTTCGCCTCCAGATGCATGGCATGGCATGGCATCCGTCGTTTCCGACAATTCTGAGAGCGGTGCACGTGTGACTCGTCGCCTGTAGCAGGGCAACACACTCCGCGCTGCTGCGCAACAGCCTTGATGCTCTCGCTGTGCCCAGCGTGTTTTAGAGTCTAAGACACTTCAGACTGACCTCAGACTCTGATGGCATTTTGGCCGTCGTGGAATCAGTCGGCTGTGAAACTGGTCACTTGTTGAACTCTGTTGGACCCACTAGGTGAAGGCAGTTTCCTCCGAAGCAGGTGCCGGCTGTGGCGTCCATTCCTTGCGTTTCTCTTCGATGCCCGTGTATGTGTGCGCCTTCTGCCTGATTTTCTTCCGACGCTGCTCCAGCTCTTTGTTGTGTGTATAACCAACTTGCGCACGAATCCGCAGCATCTGCTCGTCCTTCTGGTCTTCGGTAAGGTGGGTCCAGAAGCAGTCATGAAGCGTAACGACCCTAAGGCCTATCTTCCTCGCGATCCGCGACTTGAGCCCGATCCAACCCGAGGGTCGGGGTCTCCCGGGACCGAGCGGTAACATGGAATCACACTCCAAGGCTACTTTGGGTTCCATCATGAACCCTGCAAACCAGCAGTGTTGCTCATCCCAGTCACGACCAAAGGAGCAATTCAGCAGTGCTTGTGTGTTCGTTCGCTGCAAGCACATGTCGACATCTCTCTGCATTTGATCCGCCCCCTGCGGCTGCGCATGCAGAACGATGTTGTCGAGCCAACGATGGTGAAGCAGCTCCTGTATCCACATGGGCATTGCCCTCTTGACAGCCTCTTCACAAGTGGGCTTCTCAACATCAACGCAATACAAGGTTTGATACAGGAAGAATTGCGCCCATCCGGACTGCTCCAGTTCGGACTTGTCGTGGAGCTGCTCGCATGCACGGACAATAAGGAGCGGAAGCACTGGATAGCCCTGGCTTGTCTCGCTGACATCATAAAGCCCGGACATAACCACACCGAAAGCTGCCCTTGACCAGTCATGGACACTTCCGTCCGAATCTTCAAGCAAGGCTCTGCTGCCCAATTCCTGAATGATCTGCTCAGAAAGCTGGCTGTAATCACGTGTTCTGTACCCGTCCTGGTCATCGAAGATGACTTGTTCACCGCCGAGGCCCAAGGAAGCAATCGAATGCAACAGTAGGGACAAGGCCTCCGTCCGAAAGTTGGCCAGACTGCGTTCGACAGCATCCAAGAGATGGGGAAGGAGTGGAACGCAACGATAGTCCAGGCATGCCATGGAGTAGAGCAAAAGTGGTGCAACGGCGTCAGGCAGCTCGTTTTGCACCTTCCAGAGATCGTGGGCCAAGGATCGGAAGGTCTTATGTTTGGTCAGAAGCTGCCGATCTGCAGTCGAAAAGAATGAATTCGGATCAAAGAGGAATCCCAGCTGTGCGAATGCCCGGATCAACACAGCTGAGTCTGCACCACCACTGGATACATGGCGCTTATAGACTTCCAGGACTTTGGAAGGGTCTGTGAGGACTTGACTGGAGGCCAGATCTGCTAGATCGGTAGGTGTCAAGTCGGATGGGGGCACTGTGCGAAAGACGTCTGTTTGGAGCAGTTCTTTCGGCTGCCTGGCACGCAGTGCCTCCATAGACACCATGTTAGGTGTGTAGGTAATGCTCCTTCGAGCCGCGCCAAGAAGTCTCCGCCATCTCGATGGGCCCTTGAACATGGAAAGAAAAACTGTGCGAGCACACCTCGGGCCAGCAACAGCTGCGATCCTGTCACGGCTGTCCCTGGCACATGCCACCGCACTGCTGCAGACTGCGCTCCAAGCAGGGGAGGATCACAAGGGGCAAGGTCACGTGATGCTACATATAAACAAGCCACAGAAAACTTGCACAAAAGACATTGCGGTACCATAACAAAGAAATCAGTGCTGGAGGCCTTTAGCCAGGCGCCCCCCAAGCCCTTCCGTGTTCACCTCCACGGCTCGCCTCCTGCGCTGGAAGCAGCAGGGGCTGGAAGGAGTTCCAGGGTTTTGGGGTGAGCGGGGTTTGCACTCTCAAAATACACCCGAGGGTGTAGGGGCGGTCGAACACTGAAGAGCTGAAAGAGATCGAGGTCTTGTTACACGCACGACGTCCTGTCAAACGGAACCGTGTTTATGACTCCTTGACGACGCCGGATGTTACCCTCAAAAATCCAGAAGCGTGTGCTGAGCTTTGGAGACTTTGGAGCTACCAATGCCAAGCTCATGCACATGGAAGTCTAGCTGCCTGGACTTGGCAGACACTTCTTGGATTGAGGCACGATTTCAGTCATGAGCTTTCGCAGCCTTTCAGAACGGACCAATCACTGTCAGTGTCGCAAAGGCTTCCCGTCCAGGTCCCATTTCGCCACACATCACCGATGACATAGTCCGCCTCGGCATGCAAAAACGGTCACTTGCAGCAAATTCTCAGATTCTCTTCTGGTGGAGGCTGCACAAGACTGAGAGTTCTACCTCTTGGCGAGCCACAACAGCAGTTTCTGCCGGATTTTTGGACCTGAGAGCACTGTGTCTAGGGTGGGCCTTGCAATCTTTGACGTAATCTTTGCGGCGAGCGACTTAGTGTCTTGCAGAAATGTCTGTGCTCTATATCCTCATACATAAACACACATATGTATGTATGTATGTATGCATGCCGATGTATGTACTAATGTAATGTAACGTAATTTAACGACATGTAACATAATGTGAGGTAAAGTAGTATATGTAATGTAATTAATTACTGTATGCATGTACGGATGGATGGATGGATGGATGGACGGACGGCAGACGGACGGATGGATCTACATGTCTGCATATATGTGTGGGGGGATGTGGGCGTGCATGTACACACGTACATGAATACGCACGTGCATATGCATATACATGTCCGCATGTCTGTGTATACATTATATGTGTATATATATATATATGCATGTGCATACATATGTATGTTTGTGCGTGTGTTAATGTACGTATGTGCAAAGACGGACATACCTCTGTGTAAACATGTGTAGATATAGACAAGCTTATTGACACTCAAATTCGTGTTTTGTTATGAGTGCAGCTTATGCTCGTGTTGACCCTTGCTCATGATGCTTCATGTTGTCTTTCCTTTAGCTTTGTATGTATAGTCAATGTGACGCTTGCACATGCTTTCGATCAAAAGCGTGCACAACCTGTACCAGTGCGCAACTGCGTGTGCACATGCATGTATGCAAGAGTGCATGTAGAGGGGTCTAGAACTGTAGGTAGCCAGATATGCTGGTACAGTATCGAGCTAGCCTCGATACAGATCTGTGAATGATGCTTGCTGACCGCGAGCGCATGCCTGCACTGCACACGACTCCGGACACCGAGACATGCGCGCTTCATCTTTGGGTCGTGCAGGAGCCGAAAACCTGGACCGAGCACAGCAGAGGTGCGAGTGACAAAGCCGTCCATTGTCCACTCCCCCATGCGCCTGAGCATCGCAGCCTCCAGCAGTATGATAGCTGCATGTGCACTTGCGTCCGCTTTTAGGTGATTCGTATGACTGCCACTGTCTGCAAGTGCCACTGGCCTGCGAGCTTTCTGCCAGCAACAGCACAACCGTAGTCGCGGCCATCTAAGTAACTTTGCACTTCAATTCCAGCTCGCCGACTTCGGCAAACATCATGCTTGACGTGGCGAGCCCATGCTCAGTCCAGCACCAACCTTTGAATGAGCCATGGTGGGCGTCGCCTCGGTGCCCCAAGACATATAGACGGCCATGCCTGTATTTGTACACTAGTGCAGACACACACATGCCTGTACATATGTTTGCACATGTATGTGTATGTATATGTATACACACTTTATGCATATGCATGTGTATGTGTATGTCCATATGTGTATGCGTGTGGATGTATGTATGTATGTATGTATGTATGTCTGTCTGTATGTATGTATGTCTGTATGCCTGTATGTATGTATGTATGTATGTATGCAGGTATGTATGTATGTCTGTATGTATATGCATGCATGCATGCATGCATGCATGCATGCATGCATGCATGCATGTCTGTATGTATGCACGTTTGTATGCATGTATCCAAGCATCTATGTATGTATGTGTGCGTGAGTGCGTGTATGTTAGTACGCGTGTACGTCTATGTATGTAACACAAGTATGTCGGTCTGTCTGTCTCTGTCTCTCTCTCTGTCTTTCTTTCTGTCTGTAGGCCTCAGGGAGGGGTCACCCCCTCCCCCTGCGCTGGCACGCATGCCTTTTTGAGCGAACCGAGACCGGGTACGTAGGCATACTGCCCCAGTTATCAAGGAGCATGTCTAGAAAACCGCCGGTTTAGACGAGTACATCACGCTAGAAGGTGGCCCCGGTTCTCCTTTCCAATTTGCAACCCAACAACGGCACACGTCAGATTGCAGCACACCTGCAGCTTTTGGAGAGTCTGTCATGTCTCTCGTGGGCTTCGGGTCCCCAGCATAGCAACATGCATGAGGCAATGTATGCTGCTTCAAATCGTCCTCACAGGTTCCCGAGTACTGCGACAGCCCCCTACAACAAAGGTTCGCTACACAGGTAGGGCCTTGTGCTGTCTCTGTCCCTCTGTCTCTGTGTCTGTCTCTGTCTCTGTCCTACTCCTACTCCACTACTACTACTACTACTACTACTACGACGACTACTACTACTACTACTCCTGCTACTACCACTACTACTACTGCTGCTGCTGCTACTACTACTACTACTACTAAACTACTACTAAACTACTTACTGCCACCACTACTCTACTGATTACTACACACTCACAACCACGAATTCTACTACTCCCACAAAGAAAAGGACGATCCTGGGAACGTCGTATTCATTACGACGACGAGGATGACAACAACAACGGCTGGTGCCGCTGCTGCTGCTGCTGCTGCAAGAGCAACAGCTACTGCGGCGACGACGGCTACTGCTCCCGCGACTACCGCTGCCGCCACGACGACTGCTGCTCGTACTTCTACTCTTTCCAACTACGCTACCACAGCTGACATCTCGTGTAGATCCAGCATTCTCACCAATAGTACTCAGCTGTCAGGTTCGGGCGACGCGTTCTGAAACGCTGCAACAGAACTTCGAAGCACCCATTTTGCGTGTGCGCTCGGCGCTCCAGAACAGGCATCAGCGTAGTCCTTCAGGGCCAATCCTGAGGTCAGAGATCGCAAGATATCGCAAGTTCATACATTATGGACATTTTGGAGCTATCTGTTTGGGGCCAGCCGGAAAGCTTAGGCCGGTGCACCACCTACGACGCCGCGCAGCTTGATGTCTGCACTACTTTGGTCAGCTTTGTGGGCTAACATCTTGTTTTCGGGCTAACATCTTTTTTTCTGAGGCAGCGTGGTTGGCGTGGAATTTACCGCCAGCTCCCTTACCTCAGAACATCACGCAATACAAAGCTGTACAGCTGCACAAAGGCTGCTCATGATGCCGCCCGCATGAACAGCATAGTGCAGCACTAAGCTGGCAAACCCTCGCCGCTGTCCCTGTACTCTTCGACACGGTGTGCCCACTCCTCCTGTATTCGGAGAAGCCGGTCAGAATACTCATTACGGTCTGGAAGACACTTGGTCATCTTCCGGCGGATCATGTCAGCCTGCTTTCTCAACTGAGCTGCCTTCGCATCAGCATCATCCTTGTCGAAGTTTGCGTTTGCAAGGTCAGGCCGCTGTTGGAAAACCTCCGGCACATCCAACCAGCATTCGATCGCCTCTTCCCAGTCCTGCCAGGCCTTTTCCAATGTCTCATTCAGCTGCTTGGCCCTGTCCAACTCCTCGAGCGCGTCCTCTACTGAGGTGCTCTCGGGATCAATGCTCACCTTTGCTCCTGGAACAGAAGTAGCGCAGGTAATGCAGTACTTGACAAAGACTCTTTCAGCTTGGATCTGGCCCTCCCGGAGAGCGGTGCTGTAACTCTCGCAGATATCCCGCTGCTGGCTCATGAGGTCTTCTTTGCAAGCCAGCAACCGCTGAAAGGCAGACTCCTCAAGATCTCTCTGATCTTTGACTTTTTGCTGTCTTTCGGAAACAAGCCTGGTCATGACTTCCTGGCCTTCCGTATCAAGAAAAGACCTCAGAAAAGCATTCACGTCTTCGCCCTGAAACTGCTCGCGCTTCTGCTCCACGAAGTGTCGAAAATTGTCACCATCAAAGCCTAAAGGCTGAATCTCTGCAATAACCGCACCCACGCTCAGCTGGTGGCTTCCGCCACCGCATTTGCACAAGACCTCGGTACCCAAACTCAAGTCCAGAATCCATCCCTTCTGCGCCGGGCAATCGAGGGCACTCATCTTCTTCCGGATTATGTCTGCTGGATCCTCCGGAAACTTCAGGGTTTTCCGCTCACAAGTCAGAGATCTCGGAGTCGGGGCCACATCCTGGCACGCCGGAGGATCCACTTCGACCAATCGCGCCGGTCTGGGCACCAGTGGTGGAGGCGGTACTGTTGCCTGTCGACCGGGGAGCCCCCCAAAAAACTCCCTTAAAATCCATTTCAAGGAATATCAAAGACCTCGAATTATGAGGGCCAGAATCCTTTGAATTAAGGTCGTTGCCTTCAACGAAGGGCCCCATGGCCCTCTTCACTTCTCATGAACTGTGCACGGGCTTCTCTAACGGTATGGTCCCGTGTTGATTCCTGCTACTGGTTAACGGTTTAAAGTCTTGCGACCTACTATGAGCACCTACACTGTGTTCTCGCCAAGACGCGATCCCAATGCGCACAAGCAGTGGCTTAAGACCGGGCCAGCGCCGGGTCCACAGCTTCGAGTGGAGGAGCATGTGCTGCTCTTTCAGACTGTCCTGCAGTAAAGGAAAAGAGCTTATGGTGCAACCTGCTGTGGCTGACGTCTTCGCATTGGGGTGCAGTTTTCGCCGCTGACAACTCGGCGCAGATGAAAGAGAGTGTGACTGGTTCTGGCTCAGGTTTTCGGTTAGGGCCGAGAGCCCGGGAGCTTGTCATAAAGTCATAAGCGACCTGTCTCACCATGCAGCAAAAACTCGGGGGCCGGCACCTTGGTGTAGGTCATCGGCCTTTCGTCACGTAGAACTTCTGCACAGGCTGTGCAAAAAATGCCCTCCGGCAGGTTCACAGCAGGGCCCTGGTGCCTGGGGAGCAGTACTGTGTCTAATCTTCTTGGCATGGTTCTCTATAGTAGTTCCACTGCTACAAGTATCTTTTTTCGTTGGTTCTCTACAAGTACCTTAGGTCTTAGGGTTGTTACTTCTTACTTACTTCTGCTGTTCTTCGAGTGCCTGTGGTTCCCCAGGGTGGCTGGACAGCAGCGCTCGGGATCCCAGGTGCTCTGGACGAGATGAACTTCGAAGGCACCGAGCCGGCTTGGAACCGAGGACTTGTGTGAGGCATTCGATGGCGTGCTCTTTGGCAGGCGCCGTTCCCACTCCGAGTACCTGTCATAGATGCGCTGGCTCTTCTTGAGCAGCGGAGTCTTGAAATCGGTGACGCTGATAGCCTTGTCAGCCAGGACCTGCCTGAGCTCTCCCGCAAGCCGCTTGTACTTCTCACCCCAGGTAAAGTTTTGGGGATCCTGGCTCGAGGGTTGGGCATGGGCAGGTAAATAGCCGCTTTCACTCCAGCTCATCTCAATTACCACGGACCCTCTCTGTTTCAGGCCTTTCGGGCCCTGGGGTGACTCGCGAACCAGTTCCAAAACTTTGTTTTTCAGCTGGCTCGGTACCAACTCATGAACTGGCGGTGGCCTCGGCGCAACGTCGCTTAATGACGTGGACTTCTGGAAAGGGCGCACACCGGGCGGCTGCGGCCTGTTTGTACTCCCGGGTTTTCTTGGTGCACTCGGTGAAGAAGGCCCAGATGGATAACCACCGTGCCGCCTGGAGTAGCTAACCCAAAACAACGGCTCTGGCGGTTCAAAACGCCGTGATCTCGAGAATGCTCCAACCGACCCACTTCGGCCCAGAGATGGCTCACTCACACTGCGGCGCATGGACATGTTGCCGTGCAGCACTGCCAGCCAAATCAGCCGCGGGAAGTCAACCATGCACTTATCAAAGCCCTAGTCGCACAACCACCTACAGACTGTCTTCGACGGAACTCTAATTCTAATTCCATAGCACGAAGTGAATGCAGTGCCGCTGCCGTGATCCAACGAACCCAAATCGACTGGCTGAAGGCCGCACGTTGCATAATTGAACAAAGCCAAGCAGCTGAAATTGTAACTGTGTTGGGATGCGTGGCATCGGATAGAATGCCACACATGCCACATACCTAAAGCTGTGAGGGCATTCCCGCTGCAGCCGCTGCAAGCCTTTTATGCCAAGTGGCAGGCACCTGGGGCGCGCCGCCTTCACACCAAACTCCTTCCTGCGGTTTACGATCCAGCCCGCAGTGGCCCAGCTCGCCCTGATCCTAGCCAAGCGTCCAGCAGCATGAGCGTGGCTTAATTTTCAACTGACAACGCTCGCCAACTCTCGCACTTCGGATGCATGTCAGGCAGCACTGGAGAGCCGCAGTAAACGCATGTATCCATCTTCGCCCCAAGCCTGCAAAACGGATGTTGGCTCCAGGAACATTGGACGGCCCTGCAGATGCGCCTTGCCCCAAGAGTTTCGAATCAGGAAATAGCCTTTACCCAGAATGTCCCGGCCATAGCCTGCATGATGGGCATTGCACCGGTCACGGCACAAAGAACCAGCCCTCCACGAACATCAACTTGGCACACCTGCCTACCAAGACCACGGCGTGGTTGATCGTGGCATCCCGATCGCAGCCATCGAATATTCCGTGGCCGTAGACATCCCAGCGGGACGCATCCACCCCGACTACCAATGGACCTGGAATGGGAGGATCCGAACTAACAAAAGGTTCTTGCATGCTGTCTTGGCAAAGTCACCTCTGCTTGCAAGCGCTTGCAGCACTGAGTTCAAATTGTTCGTGGGGAGGCGAACAAAGCCTGCCAAAGCACAGCCGCTCATTGAACATGAAGCAGCTCATGATGCTCATGCCAACTCCTTGTGTCGACGCCTCAAAAAGTTGAATAGACGTCAAAGCGTAATGTCGTGCTATGTTTCACTTATCCCGACTGTTCTTGTGCGCACTGGCTGTTCCCACACACACACTTATATGTACGGTGTCACAGATAGAGTGAGGGACGGGGAGAGAGAGAGAGAGAGAGAGAGAGAGAGAGAGAGAGAGAGAGAGAGAGAGAGAGAGAGGGGGGGAGGGGGAGGGAGGGAGAGGGAGGGAGAGGAAAAAAAGGAGAGAGCGACAGACAGACAGACAGACAGACAGACAGACAGACAGGCAGACAGGCAGACTCCTCCGGACAGCTGGGGGTTGCTGGGTGCACGCGTTACCCAAAATCCGTCATGCTACGAGGCTGCTTCGAAAAAACTTGGCACTTTTGGGTGGCGCGCGGAGGCTCTTGGACAGCAAACGAGAACGAGGCGACAACAACCGAGGAGACAA